CACAATACAAATACAGATGACATATAATCGCACAATACAAGTGCTGAAACCTGTATAATATAAATTCAATAAAAAGGGGAATAAATGATCAGAACACAATAGCGTAAGTGTATTAAAACTAAAAATTCACAACAAGCCTAAGAGAAAATAGTTATCTAGAAATAGGTGAGATCAGAATGATTGATCTCCTTAATTTCCAAATTTCCAGTAACTTTATTATTTTCATAATTTGGAAAAAATGTGTAAAATTATACGTCAACTTCCATTAGAATTAGAATTTAATATATGCCACTGGAGAACAAGGAATGTATTTGTGATGCTTTATTATCCAGAACAAATAATAAAATCATACGCGCACACACACACGCACACACACATACACACTGGCTGCTTAACTACTAATGTTCTTTTATGAATTCCACAAGCAAAATTAATTACTTAGGTATGTTTTACATATAACTTCCTAGGTATCAGGGATCACGTCTGTCTTGGTAATTCTGAACACAGCATGACATTAAGCAGCACTCAATAAACAAGTGGGACCACAGGTAGGTGAGCTTATTAAATGTGTATCATACAATGGAAGCAACCCAGGTGTCCATCCATAGATGAGTAGATAAAGAACCTGTGATACATATATACAGTGTAACATTAGCCATAGAAAGGAATGAAATCTTGCCATTTGGAACAACATTTGAACCTAGAGCCGTGATGGCGAACCTATGACATGCGTGTCAGAGGTGACACGTGAACTCATTTTTTTGGTTGATTTTTCTTTGTTAAATGGATTTAAATATATAAAATAAATATCAGAAATATAAGTCTTTGTTTTACTATGGTTGCAAATATCAAAAAATTTCTCTATGTGACACGGCACCAGAGTTAAGTTAGGGTTTTTTAAAATGCTGACACGCCGAGCTCAAAAGGTTTGCCATCACTGACCTAGGGGGTGTTAGGCTAAGTAAAATACATCAGAGAAAAGCCTAAATTGAAATTTTTTAGTTTCTGACTCAGGTGAGAACTAGAAAAGCAGCCAGCGGGTAACTGACAGGGAAGAGCCTGACCGAAGGGCACAGAGTAGGGGGTCGGTGGGTGAAGGCAATGCTCTGTGTTGTGATTGTGAAGGTCGTTACTCATGTACACATTTGTCACAATTCACAGAAGTCTACACTAAAAAGGGTGCATTTTACAGTATATAAATTAGACCTCCACTTTTAAAATGGGGAAAATAAAGAAAACAGAATTGAGCTCTATTTCTTCGAGTGTTTTCTGCTAAGGAAAGACAGAGTGAGAGCAGAATGAGTTACCCAACTAGAAAACACGAGTGACAAAGTACGGCCATGATATCGGGAAGCCAAGGAAGGGAACAGACGGGAGGCCATGGTCCTGTTCACAGAAGCCACTCTCCCCCACTCCTTTGACATGGCTCTCTCATTGCATTAACCACACCGCTCACTTTTTCTTCTGCCTTAGTTCTCACACGCTGCACAAATGTTATTTGTACAAATGTTCACGTTACCAGATGACGTGTTCCCTACAGAACACCTCTAAGAGGTGTGCTGACGTGGTGACTCTGTCACTGAGTTCCATGGCCTAACAGGGAAGGTTAATCAGGGGAGTGGCATACAAAGAAGGTCACAAGGTCTAAGGTCAGGAACAGGTCAAGACAATGAGACACGCAAGGGCACGCAAGTGAACTAACTCAAAGTGCGGTCCTCAGACCAACAGCAAGAGCACCACCTGGGAGCGAATTTCTTAGAAATGCAAGTTCTTGGCCCCACCCAGACCTACTGAATCTTGATTTCCAGGTGGAGCCCAAGTGCTTCTGTTTTGAAAGCTCTTCCAAGGACTCCTCCATATGCTGGAGAGCCACCAGCCTAGAGCAGCGCAAACCACCTAGATATCTGATTAAAATGTAGCTCTAAAAGGTGATTCTAATGTTCAGACACATTGGAAACCTCAGTTCTAAGCCAACTCACTATTTTTACAACGTGACTCTGACCCATTCCAGATCAATTAAATCAGAATCTCTGAAGGTGAGATCCAGTCATCAGTATATTTCATTTTTTAAAATATGTTTGTATTGATTTCACAGAGAGGAAAAAAGAGAGATAGAAACATCAATGACAAGAGAGAATCATGAATTGGCTGCCCCCTGCACACCCCACATTGAGGAGAGAGCCTGCAACCTGGACATGTGCCCTGACCAGGAATTGAACCGACACCTCCTGGTTCATGGGTTGATGCTCATCCACTGAGCCACACCAGTGGGGCAGGCATCAGTATATTTTAAAAGCTCTCAGTGTGATTATAATTCCTGTGCACCTAGGGTTAACAGACCACTGACAGAAAAACTAAAATCTCTCCAGCTCGAAAACACTACTTATTGAAGTAAAACTTTAAAAATATATTACACATCTTCCTGCTTTTAAAATAAGACATCCTGAATATACTCTTTTTTAAAGGGGTTGTTTGTGACTATGGCCAACAATACTGAACATTCTGTCACATGTTTAAAGGCTACCATGATTAGTAAGTCTCTGTATTTCTGAAATGCGGATCTTAGCCACAGTTGTTGCATCTCTGTGCCAATGTCGCAGTATTTATTTGTTCTGTATAAAGTTGGTTAACTTTTCTTCTCTTTTTGGACTCCCCCCCCCCCGCCTTTTCTTTTTGTACTACTCTAATCTTCTCTAGTATGAAAGAATGCTCACTACTTCTAATTCTGCTGTTGTTATTTCTTTCTTTTTTTTTTTTTTTTTCAGCTGTGAGCAGTGTATATTTATTGTCCTCCAATTGTGTGAAATACAGTGTAGATGACAAGCAGGTAAACAGGCAATTGCATTATGATTGTAATGATCTCAGTAACTACAGAATGATGGAGTCTCAGTGGATGGACATCTGTCTTGACTTGGGGGAGCCAGGGAAGGCAACCCCCAGAAATACCTAAGCCCTTAGGTACAGTTTACTTGAGGTTTGCTGTATCCTAGAGTGGAAAGACTTCAAAAACACTAAAAAAAGACATAGCTTTTAAGAAAATATGGGAAGCTGTCAAACATTTTTTTGTGGGAAAATACTACGTACAGATTTCTTTTCCTAGAATTTATCCTTTTTGATTTTGAAGGATAGCTTGCTGTCATTATGACAAGTAAGGACATGTTTAGTGTGAAATCACTCTCATGCCCCTTTCATCCCTCACTACAATTATTTTAAGAGCCTCACAATTTATAATCAGGTCATGGTCACTCACATTTTCTTCCTAATCCCTGATGAAATGACTTTAAACATAACTGGAAGTTATCATCTCTTCTCTTTGACTTTCAAATGGAATATTTTTTTTTTCCAAAAATGTAACTTGTTGTTATTTCTTATTCATTTATTTGATTTATATTTATCAAGCAACTATTATGTGTCAGGCACTATTCTAGGCACTGGGGATGAGTAGTTAACAGAGAAAAATCCTTATGTTCTACTAGGAGGTGAAAGACAATAAACAAATTATGTGGTCATAGTACAGTAAAGCAAGATAAAGCAGAGCAGAGGACGTAGTGATGGGGGGTACCATGCTGTCCTACACAGGTGTGCTTCTTTAGAAGAGTCGAGGATAGCCTCTCTGAATAGGTGACAACTGAGCAGACACCTAGAGTGAGAGAGGAGGCAAGCCACGTGGACACCTGGGGGAAGGGCACTCCACATGAAGGGAACAGCAAGTGCAGTGCTCCTGGGTTCTTGCTTGGTGTGTTCAGAGAAAAGCAGAGGCCATCGCGGTTGGAGTGGAATAAGTTAGAGAAGTGTGGTAGGAAATTAGGTTCGCAGGTTAACTGAGGCAGGCACAGCTGTGTAAAGACTTTGAATGTTTATTCTGAGGGAGGGAGGAGGCCACTAGAGAATTTTGAGCAGGTAAGTGACATGATCCTGAATTTTAAAGGATCACTTTGGCTGCCTGGTGAACAGATTATAGGTTTTCTTATTCCCTAACTAGAGGCCTGGTGCATGAAATTCGTGCACTCGGCGCAAGTCCCTCAGCCCGGTCTTTGCCCTCTTGAAGTCTGGGAGCCCTCAGGGTATGTCCAACTGACGGCTTAGGCCCACTGTGGCGAGCAGGTCTAAGCCGTCAGTCAGAATATTTAGTGCTGCCATGGAGGCAGGAGAGGCTCCAACCACCGCTGCTGCACTCGCCAGCTGTGAGCCTGGGAGCACACTGACCACCAGGGGGCAGCTCCTGCATTGAGCATCTGCTCCCTGGTGGTCAGTGTGTGTCATAGCGACTGGTCATTCTGCTGTTCAATTTGCATATTAGCCTTTTATTATATAGCATTTTATGATATTGTGCACTGGGGTGGGGGAGGTCCCTCAGCTCGGATTGCAAGAGAGTGCAGGCCAGGCCGAGGGACCCCCCCAGTGCAGGTTGGGTCTGGGAAGGTACACAGGAGGTTGGCCAGCGGGGAAGGACCATGGGAGGACTCCAGGGCATATCTGGCCCATCTCACTCAATCCTGATCGGCCAGACCCCAGCAGCAAGCTAACCTACTGGTCGGAGAGTCTGCCCACTGATGGTCAGTGCACATCATAGCGAGCAGTTGAGCAGCCTTAGCATATCATTAAATGTTCACTTTATGCTCTGATTGGTTGAATGGCCGATGGACACTTAGCATATTAGACTTTTATTATAAAGGATTGTTGCAGCATGTATATTAACAATGAGAAAGAGAGGGAGAGAGAGAAAGAGAGAGAGGAGCCTATGGTGAAACTTAAGATTTAGTGTACAAAACCCAAGCATGGACATTTTCCTATAAACTAAATAAAGAGATCAAAGTATCCATGTACACCCTACCTCCGTATCAGATATCTGTGGAGTGCAAGATTTAGGTCTTAATGGCAAAAGGGTTGCTATTTGTGGGAAAGGGTCAATATCCTCCCTTGGTTTCTCTTGACGGCGGTGCCACAGTCTCAGTTCAGCACTGGCTTTCCTTATTGCAGATGAATGTGTAACACAGAATCGTGGTGCCCTGGTTGAGAGGAAAATAAATTTAAGATTAAACTACATAATAAGCCTCAAAAATCAAGAGCTCACAAAGTGTATAATACTTAGGCTCACAATTATCAGTCTTGCCATGGCCTTTTCTAATAATTTCTACTTTTTTTTTCTGCTGCTTAGCTTTAAAAAACACATTTTTTCTATGATACATCAACTGCCTGAAATAACATTCATTCACATAAAGAGGCAATGCACACTCACATACAGAAGAAAAAAATAATTTTAAAGTTGCATTTAAATTATCATCTCCATGATAAGAAAGAGAATCTGTATAACAATTTGATTAAGAAAATTTCATGTGCCCTTGACTGGAATCGAACCCGGACCCTTCTGTCCACAGGCCAAGGCTTTATCCACTGAGCCAAACCAGCCAGGGCCTTACAGTTTCTAATAAAATGAACATAAAATTCACCTGTGATCATTGTAAGACAGTTTAGTATTTACTTAGAGTAGCAAATAAATACTGGTGGATGCAAGTTAGACTTTAAAATATTAAACATTTTATAATGTTAAGTATACTGCTAAAGTATACTATGGCCTGGCCAGCATGGCTCAGTGATTTAGCATCAATCTATGAACAAGGAGTTCATGGTTCAATTCCCAGTAAGGGCACATGCCTGGGTTGTGGGCTCAATCCCCAATGTGGGGCATGTAGGAGGCAGCCCATCAATGATTCTCTCTCATCACTGATGTTTCTATCTCTCTCTCCCCTCCCTTCCTCTCTCTGCAGTCAATAAAAAACATGTTTTTAAAAAGTAAAAAAAAAATGAAAGTTTCTTATTGTATTAGTAAATGTTTTATTAAGTTGGGTGGTGTGTACACAGATGCCCACTATAGTATAATTTATACCTTTCTGTATCTTAAATATGTTTTTTAAAGAAATGAAGAGAAATGGGATAATACAAAGCTTATAAGTAAAATGGAATACCTAGATGGCAGATGATAACAGAGAAGTGGGCAAGGACAAATCATTATGACCTTACTTGCTAACTTAAGGAATCTGAACTTTATCCTGAAAGATTTGAGGTTACCACTGGAACATTTAAGCTAAGTGGCATAATCGGATCCATCACAGCCACAATGGACAGCTCACTGGTCCCCAAGTGGCACACCTTTTCTGTTTCCATTCTCTTCTGTTTAGAATCCCACGAGTCCCTGTTGAAATACTACCTCTTCTTGGTATCTTGTATATTCACCACTCTCTTTTTATTACACTTATTTCATATATACGTTCCTCCCAACTAGACTATAACCACTGGACTTGACCATGTTTTACTCTTGTATCCTTAGCACATTTGGCTGATAGTGTTTAAAAACTGTTTACTGAAATGATAAACCTGTAACTCTAGCTACATGTACACACACACACACACACACACACACACCCCACATCAATCTGATGACATACCAACCATAAAAAGGTCAGGTGTAGAGAGATGTGCTCACAGTTAAAATGGCGCATAAGTACTGTCAGCCTTACTGTTGTCACTCTAAATTTCCACAAATTACATATTTTTAAAAGTATAACTTGTAACTAGCCTAAGAAGGTGAAAGCAGGTAGCTTTGAGTCATATAATTTTTCTTACCAATACAGAAGTAAGGGTTTTACAACTTCAGTCTGAATATTTATTAAGTGTTCTTTATTCCACTGAGAGCCATCTAGCAGTTTAAGTTTTGTTAAGATTTCTGTAGAAAGGTAGCGATCTCCGCTGCTCACTAGATAGCTTTTTTTCATCTTTTCAAGATGTCTGCAATAAAACACATGCACACATTGATGCAATGTTCAACATTCAACAAGCCAGATATTTTCACTTCAAAATGTTTGAGAAAAGTCACGCGCCATCTCAAAACCAACACTAAGTTACAGGTGTACCAACGTGGGAGTGGCTGGACAACTTGGGTAGGCTGAGCAACTGGCCTTGCAAAGATGCCCGTGTTCTAATCCCCAGAACCTACGGATGTTATGTGCTTAGAGGAGACTCTGAAGGTGTGATTAGGATTGTGAGGAAATTCTCCTGTATGAGCTAGGTAGGCCTACGTACTCGAAAGGTCTGAGAGGGAGGCAGGAGGGTCAGAGCCACAGAGAAAAAAGTGAGGAAAGCAGCAGAGGTCAGAGAAGAGAAAAGACCGAATGCTGTTGGCTTTGAAGATGGAGGAAGGGACCAGGATCTGGGGAAAAGGCCAGGAAATGAATTCTCCCCTGGACCTTCAGAAGGACGCCTGCCCTGCATATCCATCTCAGACTTCTAACCTCCTAACTGTAAGAGAATACATTCATGTTGCTTCAAGTCAATACATGTGCGGTAATTTGTTACGTGAACAACAGGAACTAATACAATACTGATCCTGGAGGATCTCGGTAGGTTGTTTGCATCTAACTTCCCTAATGTGTCTTGAAAAGTGGCCGTGGCTTCCTTCCACCTCAGCATCAATCGGGTCATGCTTCACCTCCAACCACTTGGTAACCCCTGCTCTTATAACTAGTGTAACCATGAGTTCTACGGTCTCAGCGCCACTGGAATGACTGGAGTGGACCAATCATGAGTACATACTCAGTGAGATGTACTAAATCCTTAGTGAGAACTGCAATCGGCTATGGTTGATCTGCTTCAGAGCAGGTCAGGAAAAACACAGACAAGGTAAGGACTCTCCTAAAGCAGGGTCCTCTCCGGGTTCTTAAGACTCACAGTGGCCCTAGCTGGGCTGGCTCAGAGGATAGATCATTGGCATGCGGACTGAAGGATCTCGGGTTCGATTCCGGTCAAGGGCACATGACCGGGTTGTAGGCTCAATCCCCAGTGGGGGGTGTGCAGGAGGTAGCTGATTTATGATTCTCATGTCATCATTGATGTTTCTATCTCTCTCTCCCTCCCCTTTCCTCTCTGAAATCAATAAAAGTATATTTTAAAAAAAGACTCACTGTGGTCTAAAACATACACAGCAGCCACACAAAGACCTGCACCCCAGCTGACCTCCAGGGGGCGCTCTAGAAGCTATCCAGTATGGTATCTGGTAGATATCTCATTCAGATATACAATTCTAAGTGGCATCCAATCAAAGATCATGAAAATTTTTAATCCAGCAGACGCTAGAAATAGCAGGTCCTTACATTGTTATAAGGTATCTTTTATATAAGGTATATTATGCCAGTGAGATATATAATTTCTTCCATAAAAATATATCACTGAAATGTTATAAAAATAAAACAGAATGATAAATTTGAAAGCAGGTTTAGAATCTCTGGGGGGAAAATTATGCAAACCCAAATAATTGCTGCTGTTAGTATCCAAAAACTTTGAGATCACAGAACTAGTGGGATCAATATTATTATAATAAAATTAGAGGCTCGATGCATGAATTCGTGCATGGGTGGGGTCTGGCCAGCTGTGGGGAGGGGACGTGAGAGGTTGGCTGGCCATCCCTGACCCTGATTAGGGTGGGAGGGCCCAATCAGGGCCATGCCGGCCGGGGGGCGGGGGGATGCCACAGGAAGTTGGCCGGCTGGCCTGGCCCCTGATTGGGGCGGGGGGGGGGGGGGGGGGGGGCGGGGTGCCGATCAGGGGTGGGGCTGGCCAGGGGGAGGGGCCAAGGGCAGTTGGCCAGCTGGCCCCACCCCTGATTGGGATGAGGAAGCCAATCGGGGCCACAGTGCGCATCAAAGCAACCAGTCGTTCCAGTCCCTTAGCTTTTATATATATAGATAAATTGTATTACTCCTCCCTCTAAAACAGCGGTTCTCAACCTGTGGGTCGCGACCCCTTTGGTGGCCTAAGACTATCCTGCATATCAGATATTTACATTACGATTCATAACAGTAGCAACATTACAGTTATGAAGTAGCAACGAAAATAATTTTATGGTTGGGTCACAACATGAGGAACTGTATTAAAGGGCCAGAAGGTTGAGAACCAGTGCTCTAAAAGTATATATTACATTTTTATATTTATTTCAGATTTTCTGCTTGAGAAAGAATGCTACCCAAATTAATATTCCATAATTTGTTTTTAAAACTACTGAAAAATAAAATAGCAATACCTTTGATGTCTTCCAGCATCCTTAAGAACTTTTAACCTCTCAATATCCATCCATAGCCACCAATATCTCTCCCCTAATGTACCTTTCATAAATGCCTTAAATCTTTCGAACTCCTTCCTATTGCCAATGTCATAAGTTTTGTGAGAAATGCACCAGCCAGCCCTGCCTTCTGAGCCACGGCTCTCTCGCTTTGAATCTGCTTCTTTTAATCTTTCAGCCTTTTCCTTTGTGGGTTGAGTTGTTTCAGGTAACACATCATCCTTGACAGAAATAAGCTCACACTCATCAACTATCACTTCTGTTATATTGCTGAAATTTATGTAACCTGGACCTTCTCTAAATGGCTCGCCAAGGATTTCATTAATTACTACTGCTAAAACAAAGTTTATATAGGATATTAAAAATTCTTCACAAGTGGAGAAATGGAATGTCTGGCTTTCAGCATCCGGTTGCTTTTCAAGGTATATTCTCAGAAGAGCATGCGAAGGAGTATCTGGTAGAGCTATAGACCCCTCCTCCTCCTCTTCTTCCAATTCAGAGATGCGTCTAGTGCCTTTAGATGAGTCCTTTTGCATCCTGGGGTGAACTCCATCATCAAAGATGACACTCTCTGTATTAATAAGAAAGGCTATTAGGTCATACATGGATACAGAAGATACTTTTATACTAACTAGATGTTACAGAGCCAGGATGGCCAATGAGTTTATCATCACAGACAGTGACTGCATGGACGAGGGCCTGGAGGAGGAGTCTACACTTGGGACCAGTTGGAGAAAAAACTGCCAACAGGCGTTAGCCATGTCTTCCCTGGATGGAGAAGGGAATAGGGTCCGATGGACTAAATATTTGACAGCCCGACACAGGATGTGTAATATTTCATGCTGATATAGGATGTCAACACATAAAGGCCAACTCTATTGAAGAATTTGAATATGTACATTAAACAACTGTAGAAGCATACCGTGTTTTATTGTGTTTTATCTTATTGCACTACACAGATATTGTGTCTTTTACTACAAACTGAAGGTTTGTGGCAGCTCTAGGTGAAGCAAGTTTATTGGCACCATTTTTCCAACAGCATTTGCCCACTTCGTGTCTCTGTGTCACATTGTGGAATTCTTGCAATATTTCAAACTTTTTCATTATTATTGTACTTGTTATGGCGACCCGTAATCAGTGATCTCTGTTGTTACCAGGGCAAAATCATCCACCCACAAAAAGATTACGACTCACTGAAGGCTCTGATGATGGTACAATAAAGCATTTTTAAATTAAGGTAGAGTATATACATTTTAACATAATCTTATTGAACACTTAATAGACTACAGTATAATGTAAGCACAGCTTTTATATGTGCTGGGAAACCCAAAAAATCATGTGACTCATTTTATCGCAATATTTGCTTTATTGTGGTTGTCTGGAATCTAATCTACAATAGCCCTGAGGTGTGCCTGCATGTGCTGTAATATTTCCTGTTGTATGATAAAGTAAAATTAGCTACCATAGGTAACAAGGCCATACATGAACAGATCAGAACTGGAGTCATATTGGCAATTTTTAAAAATTCACTATTTTATCAGAAAGATTCTATTACTATCATACTTACAACCTATCATTAAAATTACTAAATGGCCCTTGCCCAGCCGGCACAGCTCATTGGTTGAGCATCAACCTATGAACCAGGAGGTCATGGTTCAATTCCTAATCAGGACACATGCCTGGGTTGTGTGCTCAATCCCCAATGTGGGGTGTGCAGGAGGCAGCCAATCAAGGGTTCTCACTCATCATTGATGTTTCTCTCTCTCTCTTCCTCTGTGAAATCAATAAAAATATTTTTTAAAAACAAAATGGCCCTAGCTGACTTAGGTCAGTGGTAAGAGCATCGGCCCTCCGACAGAAGCAGAGTTGTGGGCCCGATTCTGGTCAAGGGCCAGACCCTGGTCAGAGCACATGCGGGAGACAACCAATCAATGTGTTTCTCTCACATCGATGTTTCTCTGTCTGTCTCTCCCCTTCCCTTCCACTCTCTCTAAAAATCAACGGGAAAAATATTCTTAGGTGAGGATGGACAAAAAGAAAATAAGTAAATAAAATTACAAAATGGCATGAAGTATTTTATAAAAGCTAACAAATACACATGGATTGTCTTTATATTTTTTCTAAAGATACAGTCTTCGGCTCCTATTTTCTCTTCCATTAATCAGTGAAATATGCAGGCTCAGTATTTTCACATGGTAAGTCTTCCCCTTGAAACGCTGCTGTTGTGCCCACTTTATTTCAAAGGCTTAATAAGAAGAATTTGTACATTGTGATAGGAGATAAAGGCAAGACAAACACTTGCTGGCTTGCCTTTTAGGTACCAAGCACTAGGTCAGGCATTTTCTATCCATTTAGCTTGCATCATTATTCTAAATTTATAGATGAGAAGAGCAAAGCTCCCAGAAATGGAATAACTTCTAAAAGTCACACAGGCAGTAAGTATCAGAGCTGAATTCTAAACTCAGCCTCTTTTTCTTATACCACGTCACCTCTTAAAAATGGTAGAACGTGGAGTTGGGGGGTGAGGGGAAGATAATTTTTCTTCCCAACCACTGTATGTTGTGCTCTAAGATTAGGACAGCAGCAGAAGACCTAAAGAGGAGTTCTGAAGTCATTCTTGTCCTTTCCTGCTTACCAGAAACAGACGAAATCATCGGTGAATCAGCTTTGCTGTGGAGTGCAGGGAAGGTTGACACTGTTTGCTGACTTTGTTTGGCTAATGTAAACCAATCTTTCGTTTCTAAATAGGAGGCCTAGGAAGAAAGCAGCACAAGTGTTTTTTGTTGTTTTGTTTTTTAGTTTTTTTAGCACAAGTGTTTAATGTAAGATTAGTGCTCTCCTTCCTATCACAAACCTGGACATATCATTATGATATTATTCAATATGCATTGTACAATGTGTAAGGGGAAAATTATGCCATGAAAAAAAAAAGATTATACACAGAAAAAAAAGCATTAGCTAAGAGAATAATGGGGAGGAAATTTCAATTCGGATACATTTCACATTAGATGCCCACAGGAAAAAAATGAGCCCTTACCCATCAAATGCTCCACTCTTCCACGAAAGGCAGGCCACGTCACCCCCTGGAGTCACTACCGCTTCGTACTATCTAACTGTAACTTCGCAGGCACCATGACTCATGAGGCCTTGGATGCATCTTTTGCCAGCAGCTCCCATTTTACAACCTTCCCAAATATTTCTTGCCCCTAAATCTGTCTGACCTGGCTCAGTGTTTTTAACAACTCCTCCCTAATATGACAGACTTAATATTGCTCCCAGTAGCACAGGAAACATCTCGAAGCTCAATTGCCACTTTGCCTTAGATTCGGTTTTTATAACTTTGCTTGGAATGGACGCTGCCTGAAGACTGATTCCTGACTCCACCTGCCCCCGGATGTGGCCTTCAATTTTTCCGTTGCTTCATGTACCATTAAGCCAGTTGACCCAAGTCCCAAGCAGACTCTCAGCTTCTCGAATCCCAGTCCTAAGAAGCCCTTTATCTCAGCCTTCTGGACAAAATTTCTCTGCCTGAGTTTCTCAGTGACATCCTCATCTGTTTTTCTAAGAGAACCCAGGTTCAACATGAGCAGAAAAGGGAGCTTCCAGCATTGCTCTCTCATCTCCTTTCTCCAACTGAGTCAGCCGGTTGGCCCTTAGCCTAAGGAACACTCTCAGAAGAGGCAGGACTCAAGTGGAATAGGTACTGTTTCCAGACTATTGTGCAGAATTCTCTGAGCAATCAGGCCGCACAATGAGATCAAAAGCAGGAGAGAGAAATGAGAGGTGCCTTATGTTTAGTCACTGATCCCTCTAAGGCAGTGGTTCTCAACCTTCCTAATGCTGCGACCCTTTAATACAGTTCCTCATGTTGTGGTGACCCCCAATTTCATTGTTACAAATGGAACATAATTAAAGCATAGTGATTAATCACAAAAACAATATGTAATTATATATGTGTTTTCTGATGGTCTTAGGCGACCCCTGTGAAAGGGTCATTCGACCCCCAAAGGGGTCGCTACCCACAGGTTGAGAACCACTGATCTAAGGGGTCAGGTTTTCTGTGGATAAAATTTTTGCCCCCCTAACTATGCTGTTGGGGATATTGATTTTAAGCTGGTTATTAAGAGACAAAAAGACTCAGAAAGAACCTTTGACCCACCCCCTTACCTGCCTAAAGGACTTTGGGTAGAAAAACCAACTAATGGAAGGGAGCAGCACCTTAGCACAGTAATAGGAACTAAATGTGCCGATGGGAAGAAATCCAGTAAAGACCATTTGTTGAACTTCCCTCTGTGTCCCATGGTTTCGGGGGGGAGAGGGGGGGTCCCCAGCTAGAATTTGTTTGCCACATGTTTGCTCTTTCTTCCTGTGAATTGCCTACTTCCTTTTGGAGAAATCCAGACCCCTGACCCCTTCTCCTTAGTCCAGAATGGCACATAGACCTCAACTGGCCCAGTGCATCCCCAGGTCTCTATTCTGGTGCCCCACATGTACACTGTAATACATTTGGGACATTTTCTCCTTGTTAATCTGTTTCTGTTCATTGGACTATTAGCCAGGCCAGAAGAACTTAGAAAAGTGGAAGGAAAATTATTTTTTCATGCTCCTATATGTTGAAAGACGCTAATTTCCTTTTGTTTCATCTTTTCCTTCCTTTAAAACCAAGTCATTTATTATTACCTATATGTTCTTTCAGTGTATATTTATTAAGTGACTTCTCTATTCCTAGCAGTATCCTAAGCACTGAAAGGAGACCAAAACAATTAGGGAATATTCAAGGAATTGAGAGAGACCAATATGCAAGAGTGCTTGTTACTTCAAATGCACATACAAAAAAGAGAAGAGAAGATAGGGGAGAAAGAAGTAGTGAGTCAGGCATACAAGCAGTTAACTATTCTATTTTATACTTTTAAGAGATAGATCAATTGTTCATGTTTAGATGGTATAACTGGAGATCCAAAGAAATGTTACCAATTATCATAAAGATTGATCCCTATCTAGTGTCATGGTTTAAATGATCTAAGGATCCAGAGAACTTTGATTCCTTAAACTTCAAAAGCTATTAAGAAGATAGTTTAAGTATTAAATGGACCAAAATGAGTTTTTTATCACAAGAAATAGAAGGGAGAAACAGCTTGAATTTTATTCTCTTATATTTGACTAGAGGCCCGGTGCACAAAATTCGTGCACAGGTAGGGTCCCTAGGCCTGGACAGAGATCAAAGTCGATTGGGGCCTTCCTGCTGGCTGCTGGCTGCCAGCCAGGGCCTGCCAGCCACAGGGAGGGACCAGGGGAGGTTGGCCAGCCATGTGGAGGGACCAGGGAAGGTTGGCCAGCTATGGGAGGTTGGTTGTGGGAGTGCACTGACCACCAGGAGGCAGCTCCTGCATTGAGCCTCTGCCCTCTGGTGGTCAGTGTCTGTCATAGCGACTGGTCGTTCTGGTCACTTAGGCTTTTATATATATATAGATTCATTTACATATAGGGAATCAGAACTTTTCCCCCAAGTGAATTCTTCCCTCTGCATGATTACCGACATCTACTCTCAGTACACATTTTATGACATTCCTGATATTTCTATAATATATGTTAAAAATAAACCCTTCAAAATGAGTATAAGACAGAAAAATGTGCCTTTGGTACATCCCTAAGCATTATTCAGTGGAAATGATGGAAATGGCATAATTTAAAACAAATATCACTTATAGAAATGCCAAACTACAAAATTAAATAGAAGCTACACATGAATACAAATGTTCAAATAAGATAGGATAAGTCTGTCCATTCCAACAGAGATGGCAAATAGGTTTCCTCTTATATCACATCTTTGATCAATTGGAAATGCCTGCCTAAAGTGCTGTGTTGAAAAGATTTTGGAGCCAAGTCCTATAGCTCAGTAGGAAAATTGCCATGATTGGTTAGCAATGAACAGAAACTAGGAGAGTATCAACACATGGGCCACATATTTGACATTCCGGATTTTGTACAGAATTGTGTATTGGAAGTGTACTCCAAGAGAGAAAATCTGATAATCAGAGGCAAAAGATCAACTCCTGCTTGTATATTTCTTTTGAGCCAGGCTGATGGACTCAAATATTAGGGTCCCAGTAACAGTTATAGAATCTAAATAATAAAAATTTGGAATGAACAATAAAACCATCTCTATAATTCAGTTACCCATGTTTCCCTGGGTGACAATGATCATGTTCTTCAATCTTGCATCTGTTCCGTCATACACATGAGGATAATTCTAATTACATTTCAGGTGAAAGAGTGCAGAGCAAATGAGTGAGTAGAAAGCCACAACAATTTTTGTTAAAACTGCCCTTTGAAGTATCTGAAATAATTTTCCTTATTCAAGTGGTACAAATGAAATGCATGCTTCTAAAATGAGTTTTATTGAAGGGCTAATTCACAAACAAACAATCATATTTTACCTTGCCAAGAGAAATATAGAACTTCTTCATAATGACAGCATTGTCATCTTCAATGACAGGAGGTGGTGGAGTGGGCACTTTTCTCGTGATCCAGGGAGAAAAAGCTTTATCTAGTGTGACATTCATGCCCGATCTACTCCATCTCACTTGCGAGACCAATTTTGCTAACCTGCATTTTAGAAAGCATACAAATTTGAAGTAAGTTTAAAATATGGTGGAATTCAGGGTGGGGGAAAAAAACACTAAAACTTTATTTTATGTATTCAAGCCAATCTCCCTTCCTAAGTCTGCAAGATGATTCTCTTAGGATCTGCTCAAATTAATAGCTTATTCATGGAACTTCAAATTAATAATGATTGTTTTAACTTATTTTATTTATATTTTAAAAATGACTGTTATAAGCAAAGGTCATATTTTAGTAAAGCTTCAGAATGTTTTGGGTACTTATACTTTAAAAGTCATGGCACAGAAAAGATAAACTTGGCTCTGCACCGTAACATTGTCTTTTACATGACACGCTTACTTCCAGTTTGTAATACCCTACACATAAATGCCATTATCACCTGATAAGTAGATAGCTTTAAAAATATATAATGATTAAAGAAGCACAACTGAAGTACATTTCTTAGGTCCTATTTCTGTGAAATCTCTTTGGAAAAGTTACATGGTTTTTACCAATGCTCTATAATTCTTATACTATAGCAACTGGATTCACATTCCAATGGATTTAAATGAATTTCATTAAGAAAGTACAGAAAAATAATTTTGGGTAAAAAAAAAAAGTCAGCATTTAAAAAATATGTACACTAATGAGACTACAATACCTGTATTCAAAATAGCAATCACTTTCCAGAAAGGCTGGAAGTCTTTCTTTTTTGATCCACTGAATGCCTTGCTCACGATTCAGACACTATTCAAGGACAAGTGAGGAAGAAAAAGAAGGTCAAGGAATAATCAACTTTTAGGAAAATTAGTGCCTCATCCCTGGGGCAACAGTGACCTCCAGCTACTACTAGGAGCCCTGCCTCTCTACCTTCTATTTGCAAACGGGCAAGAACCCTGAGCCACAGATCTGAAGCCACTTCTTGCCTTCTAGTGCTTCTTTAATTCTCTTAACAAACCTGCATCAACTATTACCTCCATTTTACAGGTTAACAAACTGAATCCAGAGTTAAGTTACTACTGAAGGGGGAGGAATGAGATAAAACTCAGTCAATCTCAGTATCTTCATAATCATAACATGGATTTAAAAGAACCCCTTATCAGAAAAAGCTAACCAGAACACTTGGTAAGGCTACTGTGGTCACTGAAGGCCTGTTGTCCTTCCAGTTTTAGGAAATTTTGTTAAATATTTCCACCCCCAGCCTGGAGCTACAAAGGTAAGTAAGAAAGATAAGACCGTGTCCTTAAGGAGCATGCAGATGATTCAATAGTTAATAATAGTTGAATGCTGCAAAGGCCCTAAGTCCACGCTTCTGTGGGAGGTCACATGGGCACTAAAACAGCAGATTTCCAGAAGAACATGGCACTCAGCCTCTGACCTGCAGCATGCTTAGCAAGGTTGAAGAGGAGGGGAGCCGGAGAGGAACCAAAGATACATTTATTACAACTACATCACAGGCTGAGCTTTGAGAGATGGTAGAAGAAGGATGAACAAGTAGGCAGGGGCCTGGTTATGAATAGTCTTTAAATAACATTAAGGAGTTTACATTTTATCTTGAGGCTGTGAGGGCCACACAATATGATGAAAGAGTAACTAGGCTGCTATTCATCCTAAAACATTTACTCACTATTGGTTCTATTTTGCCTTATATTCCCTTTTTCCAGAATTCTAAAGAATGTGAGTACCTTAGACACTAAACAAATGCTACTAACAAGTAAAACTACCCATAGAGTACATAGCTCAGTGAGGCAATGTGTCGGCCTTTATGTGGCTTCCATTGGTCACCTGCTGAGCAGGGGGGGTGGAGGGGGAACCTTTTTTCTGCCAAGGGCCATTTGGATATGTATAACATCATTCGTGGGACATACAAAATTATCAACTTAAGAATTATGTTGCTATGAACAAAACTCCTAGGTTTATTGAATTTTGAGTCCCACCTGCGGTGGCCTTGGCAGGGCCAGACCAAATGATGAGGCCCGCGGGCCAGACATTTCCCATTCCTGTGCTAAAGAAAAAGTTGTGCTGTGATATTAACATCAGAGTCAACACAGAGCATTGCTAATTCATGAGGAAACTGGAGGCTCACATCGCAGTGCTGCCAACATCTGATAATCTGATGCTCTAGGTACACCTGTGCTTAACATTGCTGACATGCGGCATGAAGGACTGGAAAACTGAGCAAACCATGGTTTCTTCCTGTTCAGCAAAAATACACCCATTTGCCTTCACCAAAGACTGTCTTCTGGGTAATGAAATAATAATAGAAGAAACCCTGGAAACAGTCAGCACCTGAAAGGTAGAATCTTGTTGACTACTCATTGCTTATCATTGAGATATAAAGGACGTTTGCCTCTTATATTTAGAAAGACTGCACATTGGCCTCTACATACACACTGACACCCATACGAAACTCTTGAATTCTCATTAGCAATGCATTCAATGACACCAGACTACATATGAAGATCAAGATAAACCCTTGAGAAATTCCACAAGGTTTTCGAACTAGTCAGTTCATGCAAAATCAATTTGTATAACATTTACCTCATGAACACTTCACCTATAACTCGTCCCCTTTTAAATGTTTTTGCATCTATTTGACCTAAAAATTAAATGAAAAATTTAAAAATCAAATCAAAATTGAAGAAAAGTCTTTAAACTGCCAAAAATATATATCCCTTCAAGGTGTTTACAAGTATATCAAGACAAAAAAAATACAAAACAATCCTGCAAAACATAAAATGATGCCTTAATACTTACTAGAAAGTAATTTATCTAAGGTAAAATTATTTAATTTTTAAAGTAAAAAAAAATGAGTTGGTTAAGAAACAAAAAGAGATAACCAAAGATTAGGGAAAACTGGTTGTAGGTAAATCATTCTAGAACTATTTCCAAGAACTATTTCTCTAAAATGCCTCCAGGATTAGATTAATAGAGATGATATTTAGATGTACAGGCAACCAAATAAAGCCTGGCTATCTGCCAATAGATTATTTTGTTTAGTCAGATTTATTGTGGTATAAATTACATACAATAAAATTTATTCTTTTTAGGGTAGAGTTTTACAAGTTTTGACAAATACATAGGCATGTAACTGTGATTATATCAAGATACGGAATAGTTCCAACATCCCCCAAACATACGCGTGTCACTTTGCAATCATTGTCTCCCTCTAACCCCAGTCCCTAGCAACCATGGATTGTTTTTCTGCCGCTATAATTTTGCCTTTTCCAGAATGCCATATAAATGGAATCAACATAGCATACAGCCTTTGACTCTGGCTTCTTTCATTTAGCATAATGCATTTGAGATTGATCAGTGTTCTTCTATGGGTCACTAGTTCATTCTTTTTCATTGCTCAGTAGTACTCCACTGTACGGATGAAGCATAGTTTATTTAACCACTTCCCAGTTAAAAGAAATCTGGGTTGCTTCTAGTTTTTGGTGATTATGAATAAAGCAACTATAAACATTTAAATATAGGTTTTGTGGGAATATAACTGTTCAATTCTCTTGGGTAACACACAGGAGTGGGAGAAGTAGGTAGTAGGGTATATGTTTAACTTAGAACTATGAAACTGTTTCCCAAAATGGAATCGTCACCAGCAATGTAAGAGTTCTAGTTGATCAGCATCCTGGGCAGCATTTGGTATTGCCAGTGTTTGTTTGCTGCTTATTCTACTCATTCTAATAGTTATGTAGAAACAGTTTAATACGATTTGCGTGTGTTAGTGTACTATCTTTTTTTTATAACAGCTTTATTTATATATAATTCCCATTCCGTACAATTCACCCATTTGAAGTATAAAGTCCAATGGTTTTTAGTATATTCACAAACTCTCACCGCAAATGAAGAACTTTTGCATCACCCTTCATTATAGCAGTCACTCTCCATCTCACTCCAACTTCCTTACCCCCCACCCCTCCATGTTGATAGTGAATATGAGTAAATATCGTATCTTTTCATATGCATATTGGTAATTTGTACATCTTTTGGGGAGAAATGTCTATGTACATCCTTGGTCTATTCTTCAATTGGGTTGTCTTTTTATTGTTCAGTGTAAGAGTTCTTTACCCCGTTAGATATGTCTTTTTCAGATATATGACTTATAAACACTTTCTCTGATTATGGGTTATCTTTTCACTTTCTTGGTAGTGTCCTTTTGGAGATAAAAGTTTTTAATTTTTATTTATCTGTGTATATTTTTCTTGTGCTGCTTATGCTTTTGGTGTCATATCTAAAAAAAAAGAATAATGCCTATACCAGGTTTTGAAGATTTATGCCTATTTCTCCTAAAACATAATGCAGCCTGGCCAGCATGATTCAGTGTTTGAACCAGGAGATCACAGTTCAATTCCCAGTCAGGGCACATGCCCAGGTTGTGGGCTCGATCCCCAGTGTGGGGTGTGCAGGAGACAGCTGATCAATGATTCTCTCTCATCATTGATGTTTCTTTCTCTCCCTCTCCCTTCCTCTCTGAAATCAATAAAAATATATTTTTAAAAAATAATTTTAAAAATAAAATATAATACATTATCTTTTTTGCCTTGCTGGATTCAATTTCCTTATTTTTTGTGTCTATGTTCACAAGAGACATTAATGTGCAGGCTCTTCTTTTTCTTGAAATCTCCTTATCTAGCATCACAATAATGCTGGCACGTAACCATCTCTAAATGTTTGACAGAATTCACCAGTGAAATCATCTGGACCTGGAGTTTTCTTTGTGGGAAAATATACACATATATATTTTTTTAAGACTTATTTTTTTATTTTTGTTAATCCTCACCCAAAGATACTTTTTCCATTGATTTTGAGAATGAGTGGAAGGGAGGGAGAAAGGGGGAGAGAGACACACACACACATTGATTAGTTGCCTCCCGCATGTGCCCTGACCAGGGGGTTGGGGATTGAACCTGCAATCCAGGTACATGTCCTTGTCTGGGAATCGAACCTGTGACCCGCGGGTGCACCAGTCAATGTTCTAACCACTTAGAAACACCAGCCACAGCAAGAGTTATTTTTTTTAGAGCTTTTTGAGGTTTACAACAAAATTGAGAGGAAGGTACAGAGATTTCCCAGATACCCCCTGTCCCACACATGAATAGTCGCCCATTATCGACATCACTCACTAGAATGGTACAGTTTTTACCAAGGATGAACCCTCAGTGACTCACCATAATCACCCAACTGTCTGTTCAGAAAGATATAAACTCAAATGCACTTTCTTACCATAACACTGTAGTTGATGTTAATGGTCTCAGCTTTATATGGGTCACTCATCTGAGCAGGTTTAATATCATTCTTTGCTTTTCTTACAACATCATAGATGGGATTGCGAGGTTGCTGGCTTTGTAGAATTTTTTTCAGTTGCTTTTCCAGAAGTTGTGGAGCATTGTTAACTACTTCAAAAACTCCATAATTCACATTAAACCTAATTGCCTCTGAAAAGGTCTGCAAAGTAAATTGTGGAAATACGTCTTTACATTTTTAAAAACCAGAAACTCAGTTTTCAAGACTTGATATTTACATACACAGTACACATACACACACAGAGTTTTGTGTTTTTAATCCTTTCCTGTTCCCTTTAGGAGCATGGAAATCTACTGACTACAGGTAAGGGAGCCCACTCAATCCTTTCTTCCCAGTGTACTTATGCCAGGAGATAAGTGTCAGGGTGCATCATAGCAGCAATGCCCTTTGCATAAGCATCTTACCTCTGTGCTTCTTTATCACTGGAAATAACTACACGCTTGGTCTCTATGAGCAACATTATTCCTTTAGCAGTGGGTGGATTACTAGGGAAGAACAAGTAAAAGAAGAATAACACTCCTGCTGTCTTCTTCATCTCCAGGAGCCATTGGTTGCCTCCAGCACACGCCCCTACCCTGGCCAAGGAGCTAAAGTCTCCCTTAGTCCAAAGGAGAAAATCAAGTACAATATGTTCTTCATTTAAGACTATTTCAACACCATTCCTCCCACTGAGACCAAAAAAAAAGTGAAATATACCATTCTGAGCTTTTCTCAGTAATTACTAAATGCTGCCAACTTTTTTTTTTTGAACTAATTAATTTTTTTTTTATTGCTTAAAGTAATACAAAGGGTATTACATATGTGTCCATTTTTTCCCCCCCGCCCTAGACAGTCCCCTAGCCTCCCCTATCCCCCAGTGTCTTATGTCCATTGGTTATGCTTATATGCATGCATACAAGTCCTTTGGTTGATCTCTTACCCCCCCCTACCTCCTGTCCCCCAACCCTCCCCGGCCTTCCCGCTGCAGTTTGACAATCTGTTTGAGGCAGCTCTGCCTCTGTATCTATTATTGTTCAAAAGTATTTAAAGGCAGTCAGTTAACTACAACAGTCACGAGTCTTGAGTCTGCCTGCTTGCCAGTGAGTAGCACTGACTCTGGGCAAATCATTGACATCATGGGGCTCCATTTCCATCACAAGTGAAGGGTGGGTTTCGCTGTGTCTTTTCCCACTTTGCCCTCCAAACCTAGAATCAGGTCCCCTTTTCAGAACATTAGTTTGTTTTAAGATACCTTCAGTGAGCTGCCTACTCATGTGGATTAATTTCTATTTCTAGCCGGGTTGTAAAAGACCTTAAACCCTTCCCCTTGGATTGGTCACTGTCCTCGGGGCAACATTAATTTTTTTTTCAAGTTTTACTAAGAGATTGCTAGATATACTATAATTAAAATCTAATAAATGGCAGGATATTGTAAAATTAGAGTTAGAAATATATGTGTATGTATAAAAACCCATAATGTTTCTGCATATATATTTTATTTACTTATTCATTCATTTTATTGTCAGATGATAGTACATGTCTAAAGTCTCACTATCTCCCTATGGAATTTAAAGTACACGGACAAATAGTGTTCAATATGAATGTCAGTCCTCAGTTCGAAAGGGCTCAGAGCTAAGATTTGCCCTCAAAATGACAAGTGTAGCTCAATGGATAGGTAATAATATTTAGCAGTAAACTGTGAGTAAGGTTTCTTCAATAAATATGTTTCATGGGTTGCCCACTGCATCTTTCAATCATTGGATTCAAACAGGCATCAGTTACCTAAAAGTCAAGTATTATCTCTGAAACTGACTATAACTAGACTAAACAGATTTTTGGTCAGGGCACATGCCCAGGTTTGGGGCTCAATCCCCAGTAAGGGGTACACAGGAGGCAGCCCATCAATGGTTCTCTCTCATCATTAATATTTCTCTCTCCCTCTCCTTCTCCCTCTCCCTTCCTCTCTCTAAAAATCAATAAAAATGTATTTTAAAATAAAAATAAAAATATTTAAAAAGCCCAGTTAGAGTAGATCTCTAAAGGTCCTTAATAGCACTATGATTCTTAATTTCTCAAAGTACCAAATAACTGACTCAGAGCTTCTCCCAGTTCACATATTTCAATAACAAAACTTTTGAATGAGCAAATGCCAATTATTGTCTTGAGCAAAGAGGATACAAGATGAATTAAATATTGTTTCTGCCCTTGAAAAAACAAGTACATGGTCACTGATTTTTCCTTAAGATGAAATGAGTAAACAAAATACTGAAATACTAAGTTGAGAAATTAATGTAACATGCACATGTTAAAGGGGAAATCTTTCCACAAAGATCACAGTGGTAATACTATCTAGCTTAGTTATTATACTTTACAAGGGTTTCAGCTAAACCACAATCACCTAGAAAAGGATTAGCAGAATAAGTCAATGGAAGTAATGTTGGGCAAATTCACTTTTCGGAAATTTATCATATAAAGGGTTTTTTATGAAATAATCCCTAAGTGCCCTCCACATTTGATACTCCATCAGTCCATGATTGTCTCTCCAGAAAAATAAAAAAAGACTTTCTGCTCTCTAATAAGATCACCCAACTCCACTGTTCCTCTGTTAGTCCATTCATTTCTTCAATAAGTATTTATTGGATCCTTATTAAATAGTATGATAGGTGATATGTTGCTACATTTAGTGGGCCACGCCAGAGCATCCTCCATAAAGCCCCAACTCAAATGTATGAGACACGGAGCCAGCCTCCAAGCGTGCTGATCTAACAGAGGAGAGGTGTGTGATGCACAGGGACCCTACGCCCGCACCTGCAGCCAGCGCACAGGTGAAATCAAATTCACTAAAACTTATCTCCTGAAGACACCCATCCAGTTCAATGTTGTCCTGTCTCTCAAGAAGTTGATCACAGTCAGTGTTTCTGCTAGTACTGAAACGGGTCGCTGATTCTTTAGTTAGGGACCAGTTAAAAGCACTGGGCCTGTGCTTAAAGCTCATTATTCAAAAATATGTATTTTTTTACACTAAAATCTCCTCCACATAAGATGACTACCCTGTGAGATGCAAGAAGGATGAGACCCACGGAGGGAAATGGCAGGTCCTCGCCTTCCATCTCACACCTCCCCCAGGAATTCATGGTTTGGTACATGTGGCTTTATGGACTGGTACAACAGACAAAATCATCCTCACTTTTTATGTCACCTTTGCTCTCTCTGCAGAGCACAAATAATTCATTTTGAGTAATAATGCATGAATATTGCAACTCCACTTTAACACATAAAAGCTACAATAGAAGTATATACAGCCCTGTCGGTGTGGCTCAGTGGTTGAGCGTCGACCCAAACACCAAGAGGTCACCAGTTCAATTCCTGGTCAGGGCATGTGCCTGGATTGCAGGCTCAATCCCCCATGAAGGGCCAGCAGAAGGCAGCCAATCAATGTTTCTTTCTCATCAATGTTTCTATCTCTCCCTCTCCTGTCTCTCTAAAACCAATAAAAACACTTCTTTTTAAAAAAAAAAAAAGAAGTATATACAATGTAGAGTGATGACACAAAAAGATTCATGAACTAGCTTTAGGGAATAAGGAGGTGTGTAGAGAAAGTTGAGTCTTGAAGAATGAGTTGGCATTCTCATCTGCTAGAGAAGAGAGAGAAGGGAATTCAGCAAAAGAAATAGCAAATGCCTCGAGGCACAAGAGCACAAAAGAATGGAGCATCTGTGAAGAATGCAAGCAGCCTGACATTGCTGAAGCTTGGTATTCCAGGCGAGGAGAACAGAACACCAGCCTGGAGAGAACAGCAGAGGACAGATGCATCAAGGACCTCCTAGTGCGTGCTGTAGCTCTCAGCTCACTCTCCCACATCAGTGGTTCTCTGAGTATGTGCCTGGACCAGCAGCAGCAGCAGCATCACCTGGGAACCTGCTAGGAACGCCAATTCTCAGGTCCCTCCCTCTAAGAAGAAACTCTGTGGCTGGGACCCAGTACTCTGTGTTCAACGAGCCCTCCGGTGATTCTGACCCACGCTCCCGTCTGAGAACCATTGCTTTAGGATGGTGGGGAGCCATGGACTCCAGGTTATGACGAGTGTCAAAGCCTCCTGCTGACAGTTACTTTACAGACTCCCCTGTGTATTCATATATGGGTGGAGGGGTAGCCGTCTCTATTTTACACAAGGGGAAAGCCCTGGTCTTTAATTATTATGCAATATCCTCCCATCTGCTTAAAAAGAATCTCACACATTGAGTCCTTTGTTTTCACCACTTCTAAGCTTATCTATAAGGCTCCCCAAATTAGCTTAGTATGTGACTGTAAATAATGACAGGGAAGGTGGGGGAGATAGAAATGAGTGTTGGAGGAAGTCTGAGGAGGCCAATTTAGAAAACACTCAACTCTGAATCATGTAACAGGACAGATCTTCAGTTTGAGCCTCAAACCCCATTCTCCACAAGCTGTTAGGGACTGCCTGCTCTTTCCCTTACTTACTTTTCTTATTTCAAGGGTATCGTTTTCTAAAAGTTCTAAAATGAATTGACCTGAAGGTGGTGAAAGCTAACTCTGTGGTACCAGCCATCCGTGTGAGAAAAATATTTTCACAAAAGAAACAAGTGCAGGAAAATATTTTTGCCACAATAAACTGCTGGTTCCACATTTCTTTGAAAAGAGGGGAGGGGACACCCCTGTGAATAATTAGTGATGGGCTTACACTGCCAGCCCAAGCACCACTGAAACTTATAGGGTGCCAAATTATGTAGCTGAACAATATTTAAATTAAAAACTAATGACTAGGTTAATTTAATACATGTTCATCTCTGGCCCAACTCTGTCTCTACTAATTGAGCTTCAAAATCTATATTTTTAACATGCATACTACTCAGTGAATGAAAAACATCTGAACCCTTGAATATAACAAGTCAGTTACCAATAACAACTTCTTTTAATCTAAATTTTATTGTCATTTTAGATGTTTAACCATAAACTATTTACTGGACTATTTGCCCATGGGATGAAAGGAATAATGTGCCACATAAAATGCATAGAAAGTATCCTCAGTTGATAAAATGAGTTACGCGAATAATCTGAGTGCTTTATGTTTGAGCTACAACGCTCACCACCCATAAGCACATACTAGAGCTCCACCAACACCTTTAACCAATCTCTGAGTT